CAGCTCTCTTGATCAGTTCCACAAAGCTCTGTAAGAGTCAATGCTGGAGATAGAACTCTGGCTTGGGCTATGGGGTTCATTCATTACTGATTCCCACTTCCACTCAGAAAACTGAATTCAGTCCCAGGGGTAAGTAGGTATAACTCATACTGAGGTGAGACCACTACGAGTGAATTTAAACATGGTTATTTTTGTGGTGTGCACTAAAGCCAACCCCAGCACAATTCTGCAAAACACAATTCATTTGCCTATACTGGCTAGGCACAATGTATTAACAAGACTCTCACTATCAAGAGCTGAACAGCTAAACAGCTTAGACCGGACTGTAGGCAGGACCTGAGACATTAGCCACACAAATGAAGCATCACTCTAACACCTGAAGTCTGAACAAAAATTGGTCAGTGCCAGTGTGGGAAGAAGCATCGCTATGGGAGGAAATACTGATTATTCGAATGGATTAAGATTATGTTTTCTTTACAGTTTAGTATTCCCACTAAGGACATATTACCTGTGTGCAAAGACTGGCATTGAAGCCGATGAGTGGATTAAGATACTGCGATGGAAATTGGTAAGGAAATGGTGTGTTAAATGGCAGTGTGGGCAGAAGGCTAATCCCTAGGATTTAGCACACCAAAAAAAAATATCAGACAAGCATTTGTTGGCTCTTTCCTGTATTTACATGTATAACGGATAGATGTATTTACCATAACAATGCATTAATGCCAGGTATGATTGCATTGCCATGCCCTTGTTGAAACTATATAGTATTCTCCATTTTGAACTACTATAGACCAAGTTGTCATCCTAGATATATATATTTTTTTAATTCTTAAATGATGGATTTATTTCCAGTGCTACAGCAATATCATTGTGGAGTTGGTTTGAGATTCTCTGCACAATGAGGTATTCTCCTTCCTAATGTGTGTACGCCATCCATATGTACATTTAGCAATTTTTTATATGTAAAAATGCTTCAAAAAGGGCTCTGCGTGCATATATAAAATACATTAAACAGTAATCTCCCACAGAGTGTTGTCAACTCTCGTGGTTTTATCATTAATCTCATGATTCTTGGTGTTTTTCTTAAACACCTGGCATCATGTTGTTATGTCAAAATCTGTTTTCATGAGGGGGAAAAGTGACTTTCTAGCCATCATGATAGGGCATAGAAAAGCTTGAAAACATGAAACCTACAGGCTCAAAAAATTAGAAGGAACATAAAAAGAACCCAAATTCTTATTTTTTTTTTTAATTGATGATTTTAGGGACCCAACTCATGATCATGTTTGACTGGCTGGGGTTGGCAATGCTGTGAACAAATTGAGAAAGTATTGCTCCCACTCAGTTAAAATTTCAGTGAGCCAGTCTGAACCTTCAAAGATTAGCATACAACTTCTATTGACTTCAGTGAGAATTGCAGGCTTGGAATCTATTCCACTACATGTATAAACACATTATAAAACCTGTACATATGTACTTTGTGAGGCCTATAAAGTGAATAAGTCTACTTTTTATGAGGTATACATTCAGGGGTGAAAGTAAGGCAGTACGGTGTACGGATAAAAAGTGCCCACCAGTACCAGCCCGTACAGCTGACTTTAAAGTGCTGCTGCGGCAAAGGACCTTCTTTAAAGCGCTACCGGGGCAGCGCTTTAACATCGTTGCCCCTTTTGCCCCCACAGGCCGCAGTAGTGGCGGCCGGCGCCCCGGGCCCTTTTACATCGCCGGCTTCGGGGCAGCTGCCACTACTGCGTCAGCAGCCGGAGCCCTGGGCCCTTTAAATCGCTGCCGGAGCCCCGGGCAGCGCGGGCCAGGCAGCACAAATGGGCTGGCTGGGGGATGCTGAGCCCCAGCCCCACCCCTTCCAGGGGGGAGAGAAGAGCCGGCCCCTGTACCAGTAAGAGTTATTTTACTTTCACCCCTGTATACATTCCATAATGGTAAGTACATTACATGACATTTGTCACCACCACATTGATCTCTCTGCTTACATGTTCAGCCTCTTACTACTATCCTTTTTCTGTCTTGCCTATTTAAACTGTAAACTCTTTAGTCAGGGCCTATTTACTACTCTGTTTTGTGCAGTGCCTGGTACAATGTGGCTCACTGTTCTTGGTTGGTCCCTAGGCACTATTGTAATAGACATGATTAATAATAAGATATTAAGGCATGTATACAGCATAGTTCCTTTAAAAGTGCATCTGCCATATAGGAAGGGCATGTTAGGTTTTTCCCCCAGGATCTTGTTTGTTGGAAGATTCCCCTACATGTCTGTAAATCCCCAACAGGGAAGACTAACTAGACTTTATCTACAGTTTCAAAGCATTGCATTAACAGATGCACACACAAAACTGGTTAAGCATTTTGAATGTGCATATTCTACGGTACTGTTGTCTTGAGTGCCTTCTGTGTTCATAATCTTGTACAGAACACAGAAGGACATGGCCAGTGCACCAAGAGAATTTTTTACCTAGATTGTAGGTAACACAGGACCCCACAGACAGCATACTTTGGGTGATCAGGTGAGAGTCAAGAAGGCAGGGCAATGTGTTATAAATCTAACTTGCTCAAAAATCAGCAGCTAGTATTTTATCTATCTGCCCAATTTTTATTTTCTTTGATATTTCTTTTTAACTGGCCACACATATGAACAAGTAATGGATTGTCTTTTGTTTCAGTCACAAATAAGAAAACAACAGGACCAGCGTGATGCTACCTCTACTCTGTAGTTATTCCTCTACATAATTTCCTCAGCGAGATTCAGCCTTCAACATTGAGTGTGTCATTTCACACAAGGGCAGTTTCAGCACATTGCATTACCTACAGTGTACAGCTATGTACTTGCATATGTAGGATTAATGCTAGATGGACACTTTCAGAATGTGAAATGTTATCAATGAAAACTGTTGCATCCTAACAATGCTGGTTCCCTACCCAATCACATTCTTAATGCACATTTAATTCAACCACCTATTCTGTTCACTTATGGATCACAAAAGTGTTCAGTATTTGAAACTTTCGGTATAGTAGTAAAGTACTCATGTTAGCTTCATTAAGCTTCTGTAATAAATACATAACTAACTACTAGCAACAGCTGTACTGCAGGGGTTAGCCCACTCATTTGAAATCAGCTATATTCTGGAAACCTTAAATATTTCTTTTGCATTATGGTTTAAGGGTTTAAATTCTAGAGGAAAATTATGGCTCCAGAGTGGATTTTTTTCACTGTGAAACTGACTAGAGTATATTTTTGTAATTAATGTGAGTCCCTATTACTTGGAAAATATAAACTTAATATTTTTAAAGTCCGGTGTCAAAGTGGGTGATGAATAATACTTGGTTTTGATGAAAGCTATTAGCGTGTGGTCTGATCCTGCATTTTGGCAGTGGTAGTTGTAAGTGCGTAGATTGCTGCTCTCTCTTGCTGTTAAATAGACGTACTATATTGAGAGCATCCTTGCTTATACATTGGGGTGATAAGGGCACAGGGCAGTTGGACCCCAGCTTCTCCATTCCCAGTACGCCCATGAAGGAGTAGCCATAGGCGGCCATGGAATGAGGACAGAACGCTCTACAGCCAGCAAAGTCCTTGGTCCCCATTGGGTGGGTAGTGGAATTCTAGCAGAGTCGTATGCCCTTCACTTACCCACATGAAGATGATCGTTAAATTTTATGCATTTCTGCTAGCAGCAGCTGCTTGTAATGATCTTTTCCTTGGTTAGTATTGAGAGTTTACAAGCAGAAGCTATTAATTTTAGTTGATTAGGTTTGTGTGTCTTAGGGGACAGGGGCAAGGGGATAAGAGAAGTTATATTCCGGAAATGAATTGTAAAGCATGTGGCAGCTATTCAAACAGAGAAAGCAGGGATCATAAGTTTGTTTTTAAATATCAAATTAGCTTGAATTGTACCTGCTCAAAAATGTTTTACATGAGAAGGCCATTTTATGTTCTCCCACCATATAAACTGCCGTGGCATTTTTAAAATAAAGTTTGCACACCAACCAGTTTAATTTTCCACAGCTGCCTTTACTGTGTGAAGAGAGGCACCTGAGCCTGGAAAAACAAGAGACTCCATTATGATAGAGGAAGAATTCAGAGTTGTAATTACAGGAATAGTATTTTGTTTTAACTTAGATGTTCACAGTATTTGATTAATGTTTTTTGTATAGACTAAATATTTTAAAATGTCTGAGTAAATACAGTTTCACCATACTATTAAAAGGTACTCTTTCAACCTTAGATTGTGATGCCTGTAGTCAAGGAAGTTAGCAGAATGGTAGTTCATATGCAACAAAATTTTATACAATAATGATTTCCATCTCCTTTTTCCTCCCAAAGAAATTACAAGATAACTGCAATAGAGTAGAAATATTTGGTACAACCCTGTTGGTAAGCCAACAGTAGTCATGCCTCTCTACTAACGGATGGGAAATCCTGTGTGAAGTCAAATCATCTCACAATCAGAGCTTCTTCCCATGAGAACAGGCCAGGTTACAGAATATTGGAAACAAAATGTAGTATACACTACCTCTCTCAAACAAACAATCACAAACTAAAGCCAGGTTAGAATACAGCTTGCGGGTTTTCAAATAGAGCTTCACACAGACAGGATGTTACATTGGTTGATCGGGGTCTACAGTGGTTGATTAGTTTCTAGATGGAATTTAAAAAGTGTTTGCCTTATTGTATTAAAAATGCAGATCTTTTGGATCTATATTATCTGAAAAATAAGACATTATACAGCCCCAAGTGTTTTTACTTATAGAAAGCCAACACATGTAGAGATTGACATTTGACAGCAAATTATGCAAGTTTTTATAAAAATGTAGAAATTCAAAAATGATGAGACCTAAATGAGATCCACACAGGTTATTTTTCAGCCCATAAATTATCCAAGTTGTACATTTATAAAGCAACAAGGGAGACTATTATCTGCATGGAAAATTAGGTTTACCAGCAATATTTTAGGACAGTTATAAAAATGGATCAGGTTACAACATTTTTAAAAATATTGTTTTATTTAGACATTTACTTAGGAAAACCTAAAAATAAATGAGCAGATCAAGTGTTACCACTAACATAGCCACAAATACCAGAACAAAAGACAAACATGGGTATCACACCTACACTGTACAAAAGAAATACAAGAAAGTGCAACACTGATTGGGCACTTGTACCCAGTAATAAGGAAAACGCTTGAAGCCGTAATTTATATAGAAATAGCAGCATCCTTCTCCTATACCAAGGAAGCTCACATTCAGATTAGTAGTATTCCTTTACCGAAGCATCACAAAAATAAAAAAAAATATGGGATACCATATTTTCTCTTTTTCCTACCACATGCAAAGAAGCAATGAAAATTAATTCTACTTCCCCACTATGTAGTGGTGGCTAGTGAGAGGGTAAACCGTACTCAATGCTTCATTTCCTGTACAGCAAGGGAGCTGTGGGTCACTTATCTGGATTGACAGCATGCGGATACCGGTCAACTCTGTTAAACCTGATCCTTAGTAAGGGCTCCACTGGAGCCATTTGCAGGTCTCTCCAGTACTGCACAATACAAGACATGTGGCCAAAGAGTCTATCTACAACACACTAGTAGCTCATTTCCGATTCAGCACTATGTACAAATTTAATCTTATTTAGTACAATAGGGGGAAGTGATATTTCCTCTCAAACATTTGTTATTTTGTGGGCTGAGAATTATTGAATCTTTATGTCCCATTGTGTAGTGAAGAGATGCCGAACTTTGATGACACCATCAGGTTAAGAAACCTCTACAACCTGCCTCAACTCTTCAAACAAGGGAGCAAGCTCCTTCTCTAAGCTGACGATCAGTCCTGTAACAATAAGAGAAGAGATACAAAATAGTTACACTACACAGCATCCATTAAGCCTCTCTCCAAAGCAGTCAATAATAATGAAAGTGTTTATTAAAACTAAACTGATTTCACTTCAGCTTATCACTCTGCAAGGAAGCAGCATATGAGAGCTAATCACAGCAGTGACCAGCAATTGCCAATGTAATTAAGTGCCCTCTTCCTCTTTGAATCACAGATGGGGTATCAAATAAGAGCAAAACAGGGCAGGAAAGTCCCCAGAACAGGAACAGAGCCAATGCAAGCAGTCTTCCTCTTCACTGGCACCTGCAGCATCGCTTCCACCCCATGCAGGCTCTGGGGAGTAGTGGGAGAATGTGTATGTTGGAAAGTCAGAGAACAATGACTCTACAAAAGAGGATTTCCTCTGGAACAAGCAGAGAGTCAAGTGGACACGCTGGAGTGCCAAACTCAGAGTCCTGCATCACTGAAGGGCATAATTTTGAGACCAGGTGTTGCACAGGTCAACAGAGGGCAAAATCTGGCCTGCAGAATCTTTGTTACATCATCCTTATCATCACCAGCAAAAAGTATTAAGCACTAACGTGCTAAGCTGTTCAAGACATAAGACAAGAGAGTACCTTCCCTGCAGACCTTAGCATCTAACAGACAAAAATGAAGACTAGACACTGTGAAGCCTGGAGGATGGAATAATGTAGAGGCTTTTGTTAGTTTTTGTTTTCATGTTTGTGGGCATTGAGGGAGAAGAAAGATTGTCAACTGTTTGTATTGTGGGATCATTACCAGTGCATTTTCCAAATAAGTGAGGTTCACATCCTGTTTAAGGTAATGCATTATTAGAACATGCGGGAAAATGAATTGCTTTTAAGAAAGATCATAAGTATTTTTGAAAATTTTGCCAAACTCCTATTTTCAAATATTAGTCCCCATTGGGACTTACGCAGTTTTGAAAATTTTACTGAAAATACTTTTTTCCAATCAACCATGACACCCTTTTAAATCAGATTCCATGCTGGTGACAAGTTAATATGCAGTTGTGTACTGAATACTGACCTAAGTTTATGTAACTCATATTTTTCAAATGAATTATTTTAAGTCTTTTATTGAAAATATATCACTCTAGTCATAACAATTTAGGAAATTACTGATAATGAAAACGTACCGGTATTGGCATTGCTGCTAGCAATGAAACTTACTACCAAAGGTAACCGATTGAACTGGACCACCTTAAAAACATAAAAACAAAAGTTCCTCAAAAATCAATATGCTGCTTGTCAGAAAAACAGTGTGAAATTTGCTATACTCATTCCCTAATCCTGCAGTCCTTACTCATGCAACTGGTCCCATCAATTTAAATTATAAATAGGAAAAAGGACTGGGTTTTATGTATATGTTTTAAAGATTCAGAGTTTAAAGGTGCTAGCAGAGATAGACAGCAATCCCATTTTGTGGCTCACATATGTACAGTATGCTACACATTGTGAAATCTAACCAAATTTAAAAGCTGCAGCATAGTGTGTATGTTATTTCCTCCCTCTTGTTACATGATTAAAAAAAAACAACTATTCAGGGGAAGGAGGAACGAAGAATAATTCAGAAATGCTGAACATATGCTAGTAGTGTCAAAAGAATGTCAGGCCAATGCAGTCAGGGTCAAACAGCTACTTTTTTGCATTTATTTTCCATCAAAGCTGAATATAGCAAGTCTAAACAGTTAAACTTTTTTCATTTGTTTGCATCAACACCCTTCTGTAAAATTCTGCTCATCAATCCACTGTGAACTGAGCAGGCGTGTGAATCTGTTGAAGGATGATGGATGTCAGTAGACATGAAAAAAAATCAAGTTTATAAATGGTGAACTGTTTAATGTAAATTTCCTTGCCCAGACACTATTCCTGAAGCAGGATTTAACGGTTACACAGTTTAAAGTGGACAGAAGGCCCAGCTTGTTCAGCAGTATCACTGATCACATGTACAGAAATATGAACATTTTATTTTTCAAGATAAAGATTTTTAAATTGTCAGCAATAAACACAAATTTAGAATGGTAGATACTAGAGATTTGCAACCGGCACCATCTGCTGGAGAACACAGTGACCTTCAAGTACTGCCCTGAACCAGTAACTCGTTATTGATGCTGGGAAACAAAAGCTAATTTCAAGGAATATTGCAAACATTCAGCATGACCAGCTCTTACATATTTTAGGAAATAACACCCCAGTGGAAAGCCAGCACAGAGTTTAAAAAAAAAAAAAAAAAAGTCATGTAGGACTAGCTCTGGCCCATAGACCCTTACCTGGTATGTGTTGTAATAACAGATGATACTCTTGTTTTTTGAAAGTCCTAGTTTGCTGCCCTGGTCTGTCGCAAGTGCAAAGGTGGACAAGAAACCAGGTCTAAGTGCATGCTCTGGAGCATTATCATTGGCAACTGGAACAAAACATATTTTACATTCCTACATGATCTTTGTACATATGGGTCAGGCATCCTGCATCTGAGGCAACAGTAAACTAGATCAGATCTCACAAATATCAAACTTCCCCTACCTGCTTCCCACCTTCCCTCAATAATGAATGCCTACTGATGTGCTTGGAAGATGCATGTAAATGTTTTACTCTGAATATCGTTATCACCACTTCAGCAGCCAGCTTTCCTAATGTTCTGAGGATGGCTTATTTTCTATACGCTTGTTTGTTGCACCATGATCTGTGCTGATGCTGTTTTGTTTTATTGTGTCACTTGCAGTAGCACACCAGACCCATCGCATTTCACCCATATCATGCTTATGCCATAGATCTTCCTTCAGATTCACACATACATGCAACTCCTACTGAGCATCATTAAATGAGATGGACATAAAAACCATCTGCAGATGCCTGAATCTTTAGATTCTTAACTTACGCCATTGTGCCTGTAGCACTAGATGTCTCACACTACTACCGGAAAGTAAGGTAAGGATAGCACAACCCTGATGCAAACAAATTCAGAATTAAGTCAACAGCAATTGGTGCATCTCTCTGTGGGTAGCATTTGGTCATATCAGTCTGAGGGTAAGACTTCTGCTAAACCAATCCTGGCGTTGTCTACCAATCTTAAAGCAGCTTTAAGGTATAAACTCGTTACATGATTCCAACTCTCTTCACTGATGACATGGTAAGGTGCCTACAGACTATGGTTTTAAACACGCTGCATGTACCTAGATAGAGGGCTCCTTTTAAGAGATAATTTAGTGTTCAATAAATCCTTGTTAAAATGTCCCAAATTTGAGCATGTCTAACTTAATGCTTAGATCAACCTCCAATATTTACAGTAAATTAAAAGCCAGATAGGAGGAAGAGTCCTCTCTCCATTAGGAAGCCAGTTTTTTGTCTTTCAATTAAAGATGTCCATTAGGGATCAGATGTTATGAGTTACCTTTGATAACAGGCACACCATCTCTGTCTGACACTAAAATAGCATGAAGACCTTCAACACTAGAGAAAACAAAATAAAACTGTTGTTTTTACCAAGTTTAAATGTTGGCAGTGAGATTCATTTTTATTCAGCAAACACGTACCAAGGTGAAAACAGAAGAAGTAGCAAGGAGAGGGATGATAGTGCAAGCAGTGCCCACCATTAAACTAGCTTTCATTATGCGATCACCCAAGGGACCACAGCCAGACTTCTACTAGAAGTTCAAACAGATTGAAATTGGAAATTGTGGAGGTCCTTCAGCTTCAGTAAGGGGACTGCTATTGGAGGTAGTCCTTAGTGCAGGTTTCACTGTATTTGCACACAGTGCCAGAGCATGACTATTTAGTGCTGCTAATGACTGACCTAGCCTAGCTACTTGCAGTTACCAGAAACTGTAAGTTACCAAGATGAACTAATTCTTCAAAGAGCCAGTACGAAGCGTTGCTTGATTTCGAGAAGAATTATTCCAGTAACAGGAGCTTTTAACACTATTATTTAACACTTAAAATGAAATGAAGAGTACTGTACTTCTTTTGGAGTGGACAGATGGAAAGGTTTGAGTTATTTCCACCTGAACTGACTTTTAACTCATTCAAAAATAACAGTGTACTCAGTTTCAAGATAAGTGTCTCTTTAATATTAAGCTGGGTTAGCAAAAGATAGGTTTTTGCAGCCAAATAAATATTATTCAGAGTATAGGAACCTGCAATGTAAACTTTAATAGATTCTTTTTAAAAAGTGTTCAGACAGTATGGACAGTCTGTTGGATTACTTTCACTAGAACCCACTAAAATCCAGGTAAATATTAACATATATTAATTGCGAAGCAGCACAGAGTGTAAAGTGAACACTTTACTGTAGCATGATAGCTATGTTACCTTGGTAATTTTTTGTACAGAAACCTTTTCAGGTCCTATAAAGAAAAATAAGAGTATGAAATATGCTTTATTTTTCAAAATAATCATATGTATGAAACTTTCACAATTTTATCACAGTAGAAACCATTTGCGTCATTTTTTTTAAAACTTCCTCTTTCATTCTACCACAAAACACTTCTTTTAAATTGCATTGTGTGAAGTATTTTGAATTATAACTGATCAAGCCCCCCTCTCCCCCCCCTTCAGGCTTGTATATAAAAATAGTCTGCGTTCCAGAATTTGCATATGTATAGTACTTATATTACTTATTCCTTTAATTCTGTAATCATTTCAGTGGCTCTGAAAATGTACATACTGATATTTGTTAACTAACCAAAATGCATCCAATACATTTAGTGAAGTGGCAGCAAGCATTTCTCTGTCCTCCCAAAGTGTTTTAAATATAATGTTTCATGTTAACACACTAAATACACAGCGCTTGAACATTTTAATATAGTCGCTGCTACAAATGATATCCCAGACACATGTGAACTTTGTTTTAGCATCTTCCAAATATAATCACTTTACAAGTTACTGAACAAAGCAGATTCTCCCTCCTTTTGCATAATCATGTCATTCTCAATCAATCAAGGCCAGTTCCCCTTTCAAAGTGTTTACAGTCTTCTAAGGCCTTAGTCCTGCAAATACTTTAGCTCATGCATAACTTTACTGACATCAGTAGTCCCACTGAACTGAATGAGGCTTCATAAGGGTGTGTCCACATGGATCAGTTTATAGGATTGGGGCCGTAAAGTAAGCTTTTCTGGACAGGGCCTATAGTTTCTTCCTGTTTGGTAGCTTTCACAAATAGTGAAACAAAACCCCCCAAAACAAACAAAACCATATAATTACAAAGACAAAATATTTTCAAACAGAAATGGGTATTTTCAAAATACTTACATCAGCCATGTTTAGAAACTTTTGGAAAAAAAGTAATCAGATGTACTGTCAAGGTTCCTGAAAAATAAGAGTCAACATTAGTCATGCACATAAGCTTTTATGATCTCCCTCTCTCTCTTTTGCTTACTCTCACACAAAATTAAGAAGGAGGGAGAAGCGTCCCTATTAATTTCCAGCATCCCACAGCTCTCCTTCTGGTGCCAATGTGAAGAGGATAACGCTCACGCTACCCTGCCCAACAAAATGAATTATTGGCATTAAACTGCTCTTAAAAGAAACTGACTTACCACAAGCTACACACAAGCTGTTCCCCAGAGGGCCTTCCCGCACAAGCAGCCCTGTTGCAACTGTCCTCCCCACCTCAGTAGGAAACATGGGTCAAAAGCTGCATAAACTAGGTAAAGAGCATCTCAGGGCAGATCTACACTTAAAAAGCTGCAGCAGCACAGCTGTGCTGGTGTAGTGCTTCTCCTGTCCGCGTAGTTCATCCCCTCCATGAGAAGTGATAGCTATGTCGACAGGAGAAGCTCTTGACACAGCACTATTTACACTAGGAATTAGGTTGGTATAACTGCATCGCTCAGGGATGTGGATTTTTCACACCCTTGAGCAACGTAGTTATACCAATGTAAGTTTGTAGCGTAGACTTGGCCTCAGTGATGGGGCGCTAAAGAGAGGAATGACTGTAAGGTGAAGGTAGGTACACGTGTTATTCCTGGATACTCTCCACGATAAAACTGCCTGACAGCCACTCTGCCAGCAAGTTTGTATGTTTCAATGGGACAACACTAGGCAGCTGTTAGTCTAGGTGTTTTCTGAGAGCTCTCTCTCTCCTGCCTCTGCTATAATCACTGAACCACATCAGACAGACTGGGGTCAATGGATGAGTCAGTCAGCTTTAACTCAATCAAGATAAGAGAGATGTAATACTAGCACAGCAGGGGAAGTAACTGAAAGCACTGTCTGTGCCTTACATTGAGTTCTCCCAGTGGTTTGTTACAAGAGCTTGCCATGTGGAATCTGTGTTTGTTTCTGGATGTTCAGACAGACAGCAGGAGCGTCAGTGTTGCAAACCCTGCCCACTGACTCTTCAGTTGCCTACGTACACTGTTCCTTTGGTCATGAAGACAGTCAGTCATCTCTGTCTTCGTCACCTTCCCACTGGAAACACCCTCCGCATGGACTATTTCCAAAGGCAGTTTCAACTAATATAGACTGCTGTCATCATCATACGCAAGACAGGGGTGGTAACTGTCCCAGTCTACTCTGCACTGGTGAGGCCTCTGCTGGAGTACTGGGTCCAGTTTTGGGTACCACATTTTAGGAAATACGTGAACAAAATGGAGAGAGTCCAAAGAAGAGCAACAAAAACAACAGAAGGGTTAAAAAAACCTGATCTATGAGGAAAGGTTAAAAAAAACTAGGGATGTTTAGTCTGAAGAAGAGACTGAGGTGGGAGCTAACAGTCATCAAATATGTAAAAGGTTGTTAGAAGGAGAGGGATCAATTGTTATCTGTGTCTATTTAAGAGTAGAATAAGAAGTAATGGGCCTAATCTGCAGCAAGTGAAATTTAGGTTAAATACTAGGAAAAACTTCTTAGCTATAAGGATAGCTGAGAACTGGACCAGCTTTCCAAGGAAGGCTGTGGTATCCCCCTCACTGCAGGTTTTTAGAACAGGTTGGACAAACACCTGTCATGGCTAGTCTAGGTTTGCTTACTCCTGCCAGGTGGGTGGGTGTTGCTCAAGTCCTGCCTTTCCCTGACTCCAGGAGTGAAGCTAGCCGGCAGGGGAGCAGATTGCACCTGCTCCAAAGACAGGTCAAGGAGCGTGGCTGGCTACCGGAGAACCCTGGCCCCTCCTTGGGTTGTGGCCTGGCACCTGACAGGCCACAGGGCTCCCACAGTTGTGCACGGGGTGGGCAAGGACAGGCTGGGCTGGCCCAAGGAGCATTGGTGCTGGAACTAGAGGTGCAGCCGCACCCCCCCTGACTTGAAGCGGTTTCCATCATATCCAGGGGTCGCAGTTTGGTTCTATGGCGCTCAGCACTCCCCGCCCCCTACAAACGGTCCCATCTGCCCTGCCAAGGAGCTGGGGTTTGCGGAGCTCCGAGTCCCCCAGCCCCTGGACAGAGGGTTGTGGGGGGACCTGGAGAGCGGTCGCAGGACCCCTCCGGCTCGACTCCCCGCAGCACCGGGTGTGTGTGTGTGTCAATATAGTAGGCCCTATAATAACAATTACCACAACACATTACTTCTGCTTTGGGGGTCCGCCCATCCACCCTCCCCCGAAAGCTAAACTCTCCCCCTTACCCCAGGGTCCAACGGGCCACCCGCTTCTTCCGGAATTCCTCACAAAAATACCCAGATGACAGCGGCCGCTTCCCTTTAACCCTCGATCACATGATTCCCCACCCAAGAAACGATCGCCATCGCCGCCCCCCCGCGCGCGCCGTCCTCACTTCCGGTGTAGCGTCAGATCTGTCTCCCTTGTAGCTAATGAGCATGCCCACCCGTTGGCGCATGCTCAGTGAGCGCAGCGAAAGGGCTGCGCTAGTGGGAGCGGGAGGGGACAAACAAAGGGCGAAGCCACGGCGGCGTCTCTGCCGCTTTCCGCCCCAAAGCAACTGCTGCAGAGGTCATGTGACTGCATTGCCGCGGCACGGGAGGTGACAGGAAGGGCTCGCGGTTGCGCCCAGGGCCCGTCTCAGGAGCCGCGCGCCCTATTGTAGTGCTCGTGCTCTGGGGGCGCCTGGCCACGGGCACAGGGGTGGGGTGCTGGGCAGCGAGCCCCAGCACTCATTCTCAGGGGGAGCTGGAAGCAGGTGCTGCTGGCTCTGGCTTGGCAGGAATCCTGCAAAGGGCCCTGGGGCTGTCCGTGAATTGCCTGCCCTAACCCATTGTTGGGGGGTTTCAGTGCGCAGCCCGCCCAGGGCCGGCTCTAGGTTTTTTGCTGCCTCAAGCAAAAAAAATTTTGGCTGCCCCCTTCCCTCCCCCAGGCTCTCTCTCTCTCCCCCCCAACTGCACCCTCCTGCTGCCCCAGCCCTGGGTCACTGGTAACTCACTCCCAGGGCGGGTCATTCAGCAGGAATTTTGGATGTGCACAGAACACAGACAGGATTGGTTCCCATATGGTTACAGAACTGCAGTAAAGTGGAACAATTTTCAGCTTGTGTGATTGAAGGCTATCTGGATGCATATTATAAGACTGTCCTACATAAATGAGGAAAAGTTGAGGTGCCTTTATTATTCTTTTGTTCCATTCTTTGTTTCTATGGGGAATTTGCCAATGCAATATCACTGTCTTCCTTTTAAACAAATAAAACTAAAAAAAAAAAAAAAGCAATGGCTGTTGAAAATAGCAATTCCAGTCCTAATAACCACTGGGAAGCATTTCTTGCTCAATTTATTCTACTTTTTTCTACAGCAAGTTACAGTGGATCAGTATATTTGATTTGGGAGAAATGAAGTAACAGCTGCCCAAATTGAGCTTGAGCACTCCTGAATTTTGAGGGTGTTCAAATCTGGAAGGCAGGTGCTAGATTCCCTTTCTGAATATTAGCTAAATCTGGAAAAGAAAAGTCAATTTCTGCTTCCATGGCTCAGAAGTGTAAATCCTCCTATGTGCCTGGTACTGTATCTAAAGCTGCCCAGATCCTAATAGAGCCTCCCCTCCCTTACTTTTCATTTTAAATTCTAGTGGGATCTCCCTTGCTAGGCTTCAGATAGAGAGGTGCACTGTCCATTTAGTCCACCCAATTCTTTTTTCGGGGGAGAGCCCAGGGCTGGGGCAGCAGGAGGTGCGGGGGGGGGGGGCCCAGGGCTGGGGTCGGGGGCGGCAAAAAACCTAGAGCTGGCTCTGTCCCTACCATTCACAGCAAGCTGCAGCATGAGGTTTCAGTTCCACACTCCTTCCCCCTCCCTTTCCTGTTAATTGCGGCCGAGGGAATGCTGGGAAATGTAGTTCTTTTCCTGCTCCAGGGCTGGCTCTATAGGCAGGGAGCTAACCAAGGAACTACAGCTCCCAGGGCCCCCTGTTGGTTCTCAGCTCCCATGCTGGATTCTTGCGCCCCTGCAAATTTGCCACCCCAAGCAACTGCTTGCTTTGCTGGTGCCTAGAGCCGGCCCTGATCCCACCACCCTTTGTAACACTTAGTAACCCTGAAACACACACAGAATTAAAGACCCTAATGCACGATGCAATTTATGGACAGTCCTTCTCATAGTGACACCGGCCTGAGTTGGGCCACTTTGGTGGAAGAGACAAACTTCTCACAACCACGTTGTATCTCTGATAGCGTGGGGCCACCAGAGCTACAACACCGCTGCAAACAACAACATAATAATAGGAAGATGCAACAGCTGATAGCAGATAGTTTGCAACGTGGAATCTCAGAGAACTTGATACTTCAGGGACAAAGGTAGTTTAGAGATTATTTGCATTTCCTCTGAAGTTCCTTTCAGCTGTGGAGTAAAGTGATGACACATCATCTTAAAAATATAAACAATCCCCTCCTTAGGAGGTGGTTTGCCTTCATTCTTGCTAGGGCAGCCCAGCTCTTCCAAGGTTTCTGATTTTGGGAGTTAGATAACTGGTTTACAGTTGAGACACCAGCCTATGAAAATGGAAGGGGATCTCGTCTCAACACACTGAAGATCTGGCTGAATTAGAGGTGTAGTCCTGTGCAACTCCCAATTTTAATATTTATTCATCACTTACAGCCATCCTCTTTAGAAAAAGATGTAAATGACATTATGCATAATTGTTTTACAGGATAAATTATGTATATTTACACCAAACATGTTAGAACAACTTAAGAAGAAAAAAGCACATCCTGCTGAGATCAGCTTTTGTAAACCTAAATAGTTGCGCTGAGTCAGAATGGCCTCTAAGGAAAGGGATGCTGCACAAAATGGTGTGGTAACGTGGTAGGTCACTCTCTTCCCAGCAAGATGGCAATATGCTGCTGAAGATCTTGGCTTGTGCCAGAAACCCAAAACTGAAGTCCTGCTACTTATTTAAGGTCATGTATGTTTCTTAATAGTAGAGGGCATTACCCTGAATTCCTGGCCCAATTCATGTTATGTGCATCCCAGCTATAATTTCACTAGTTGTTTCATGTGACAATCTTCACTTTGTGTCCTAAATTATGGTATAATGTTGCTGTACACTGTTGTACAGTTCCAAAATTTGATGTTAGAATTACTATCATGTTACAGATTGGCAAAGTGATCTCATTTGCATAATGTTTAACATATTTTGTAAATACTTTGGGACCGTCTGGGTGAAAGTTGTTACACCAATATAAATCATGTGTTCACATACTATAGTGCAAAGAGTTGTCTTAACCATGAGGAAATGATTATATCAATAACTATTCAGTTTAACTAGGGATAAATCTTGACAATCTCTTTTCATAATAAATTCTAAAGAGGGAAGAAAGTTCTGCCAAAAATACATATTTAGAGGTGCCTGGCCAATGGGTGATGCTTGAGGGAAGATACCAATCAATTCAGGAACAAAAGGGATAAAGAACAAATAGAATGAATTGTTTAAGCTTTTATGTTGGAATGTAGCTAGAATTACCCTATTTGCTCATCTGTCACTTATGCTTGAACAGCAAAATAACTGGCAATCCCACGTCGTTGTCACATTCTCTAACAGGAGGGTATGACAGGCCAGTTGCAATTCAAAGGGAAATTTTCAAATGTCTTATCCATTATTCCTGTTGGAGGTGTTTCCACCTGCAGTGGGGCTGACCAAGTAAGATGTAGTTTTTTAAAGATATTATATAGTTCAGTAAAAAATAGTGACAGAGGCTCACCTGCTGTGTTTGCCATTAGGTACGTACAGGAGGTAAGCAGCATTTGTTCTAGTAAGTCACATTACTGTATTTTTAAAAACAGTTGTTAGAGTGAAGTTAAATGCCGTACTTGATGATTTTTATATAATTAAACAGGACAAGAGTTGAAGTTTAGTATTTTATGAATTTCTCTCCAAGATTTAAAAATCATTTTCTTCTTTTAGTACTAGAAGACAGATTATCCAAATGGGGTTTGTATTCAAGTATGTCATTTTCAATAAGTTTAGACTTTTGCTGTTTATATGCTCCTTCCCAGGAATGAAATGTCCAGTCATCTTTTGAAAAAATCTCCCCCAAAATGATGAATTTTAATTTTACACCACTTTTCTGAGTAGCTTATTTCCTTTATCACTGCAGTTAACTCATTTTTATATAAGGCAGTTTATGTGCCATCTAATTATATAAGCTGTAGACATGCAATTATATTAGATCCCCACCTGGCTTTAATACATTGTAAGGGATGAGGCTGATTCCCACCTCCACACCCGGAGGTGTGTGTATGTGCTGTAATTCTGCTACTCAATTTCTTTTCAATTTGAAGAGGAAGTTTGTTACTTAAAAAGTCATCATACTTCTATAACCATGGTAAATCTTATGCCCATTTTTAATATTAATCTCAGATACGTGTGTAACAAATACATAAACCCAAATAATTGTAATCTTGGCCCCATTAAAATCAATAGGGGTTTTGCCATTGATTGCAGTGTGGGGCATGGATTTCACCATAAGCTTAGGGTTGCAGATATAAATCACAGAACCTGTTTCAGGTCTGCCAAAGTCCAGAGCTCTTAATGTTTGCGTGCATCACCATCACCCAATGTCTCAACTACATTTAAACTAACCACAAACTAATAGATGGTACGATCTTGTTACTTTCATCTTCTAGGTCATTTGGTTAAAGGGAGTTAGTTGCACCAGAATATTGCTTATGATTAGTAGTAGTTTTTCCCAGTGGAAATGAAAAATTGTTTACTGCAAGTTGGCAGTCTTCCTTTTGGTAATTAATGGCTGTGTAGAAAAGTCAATTTATAAAACAATTCAGTATTTTCAAAATATATAAGAATAATTTAAGATTAGACACCATTTTGGTAGCTAGAATACTTTGCCTTAAAAAGGAATAATTGATCTTAGATAAAGTATGTTCCTGTTCTTAGTTCTCAATATCTACATGAGCTGAGCATACAATGAAATAGTTGTTCCTTTTAAATGCAAGCCACTGAATTTAAAACAGAACTACAATGAATAGTCAACAAGGGGTTTTCTTTAACATGTAAAAAAGTAAGATTTTTGCACATTTTCACACTGAAAATAATTTTATTTTGATATGTCTAATATTACATTAGATATAAAGCAGACAAGTCTTTTTTTTTTTAAGCTTAACCTTTAAATCTTGAAAATGCCATAGAGTTAGACAAAATAAAATAAAATCTTCTTTGTTAAGATACTACCTTCATTTCACCAGATTTCTTTTGCAAGGCTTCCATTAAATTTGTTAGGTGTCTTGAACATGATTTGCAAAGACTGTATAACCTCTCCCGCACTGCTTTTTTAAAAGTCTGAAGAACAAG